GCCATTCTGCCACGGCACCGCGCGCTCCCGCAGCCCGAGCGCCCGTGGGCGACGGCTCTGGCTGGCCTCTGTGCAGGTCTCCGTCTTTGGCTTCGGAGCAGATGCCGAAGGGAACTGGCACCACTACTGGGAGAAAAACCGCTGGTCCGGAGCCTTTCGCAGGACGAGGGTCCACGACGCTGACGCTGAATTCGGCCTCATCGAGAAACTGGCAGCTGAAGGCAGGATTCTGTTCTAACACTCTCCGCTCGCTTCGCTGCCCTAGTGCCGCCGCATGCCCACAGACCCTGCGATCCCCGGGCTCTGGGTGCTGCGTGGGCTGGTCCCAGCAGCCGGGCACTGCGGGTGCCAGGAGGTGACACGGTCCCATGGCACCAGGGACATTGCACTGGGCTGGACACAGGCTGCGCGTGCCTCTGCCCACGCTGCCTGGGAGAGGAAGAGGAGACGGTGGGCTGGAGGCGGGCGTGGAGCCCATGAGCGGCTGTCCACGGCCCTGCGGTGGCCACCAAGCCTTTGGGTGCCAGCTGCGGTGATGATGGCAGCCAGTCTGACGGGGCTGCCCACATGACAGAGCTGGCATTTCCACACAGCGACAGCTTTTGGGGGAGATTCAGAGCTGTTCTTTGGGTGGGGGACAGGGGCATCTTCCCTTCCTGCCCTTTTATAACCAAAGCCATATTTTTAAAATTGTATCACACAAGAGTAAGAAAGGAAAAGACTCGAGTCAAAAGATGACAGATTCAAGTACAGTTGAAATGATCTTACATTGACTAAACTTTGAAAAGACGCACGAATCTATTCTTAACATGTGCTTTACTTTTTGCACCCTTACTGCTTTGAAAAGCCAACACAACCTGCAGCACGCTGCAGATGCCGCAGACAGCGCTCCCAACGAGGTCCTTCTCCTCTGGAGCAGGGTTAGCGGCATGGACGTCTGTTCCTGCTCTCAAACACGAACTTCCCTGAACGAGGCTCAGCTTTTCCGCGGCCGTTAGTCACTCCGCGTATTAAAATCTCCAGACCTCCCCCACTCATGAGCTCCTGTTCTATATCAGAAGCCTGTAGTGCTCGTGTTAACTCATTAGCTTCATTGATTTTCTGCCTCTCCAGGTAGCATGTCCATTTCTGTATGCATCTTCTGCTTCTCTTCTCCACTAACCCCAGTTTCCCCCTGCCAGTCTCGCTCCTGCCCACCCTTCAGCTGCCCTGCTCCCTCCAGGTGCCACGCACCGATGCTCTCCAGGCTTTGCTGAGGTTTACAAGTAACGGGCTTTCTGACCAAAGACCAAGCCCTTAGCTGCGAACTGTTTAACTGGGGCTGTCGCCTTCCTCACAGTCTAGTAGTGCCATATGATCCCGAGCCCATGGATTTATTAAACATCCTTGTTTCAAATGTATTTTTCTTACAAACCCATTTTTTTCAGTATTCTAGCTTGGAGATTAATCAGTCTCCTTCCCCACAGCTCAAATTGCTTCTCTCCCCCCTTGAAAAAACGCAGGTTTCTATACTTCCTAGTTTGCAGATAAGTTACACTAACTGAAAAAAACCCAAACCCTCAAACAAAAAAATACTTTAAAATCAATTATAACATAGCTTTCTCTCTGCCTTATCTGATCTTGTGCCTGTCACTCACTGCCACTGTTGGACCAACTGTTTGGACCAAGTTTAGAATCGGCACCAAAGCAAATCCTGACCTGAGAGTTAAGAGTTAACGAGCCTATTCTGCCTCAGAACAAGGCAGGAATCCACAATGTTTTATTTTTCCTCATTATTTGCAAATTTCCTCATTATTTTCCTCATTATTTTCAAAATTCTCCCAGTATAATTTCACATACCAAGCACTCTACTCACGCATTATCATTAAAAAGAGAAAAAAAACCATCATCATGGTATGTACATACTTTGCCCCAAGGCAGGTGTGTTTTTTAATTATCATTTCCAATTCAGTACCAGGATTAGCTCAAATAATTTAATTACTCTTCCAAATGCTTTACCAAAACCCACAGAGGATGGACTTTATTTCAAAATACAAAGAGAGGGGAAGTGAAAAACACAATCCAATTTAAAAAACAATTAAAACTCCAAACACTTTTTTTTGCTGACACATCAACCTGCAAATTAATCAGAGCAATCCGGAGCCCCCGCGAAGCCCCACGGGCCAGCGAGCACATCCCACGTGCCGGCTCTCACCACCTCGCCCAGGACAGCTGGGAGGAAAGCGCAGGGGCCTCGGGACATTTTCACACAGGTCTGGAACACGGCAGCAGCACACTCCAAAACATTTTTAAGAAAAATTTAAAAAGCTCACTGGTGTTGCTAGGGAGCTTGTTTGATGGCAACTTCAGTCCATTCCAGGTCTCGTGACACCACCGCCCGTTGCTCCCGGAGGCGAACAGAACGCAGTCGCTCCAGCAGCTCTCCCGGGGAGGGGGCGGAACTGGGTGAACACAGACTGACACAAAAGGGGGGTTACAGCAGGGTTTGCACAGCCCGACGAGATGGCCAGTCTGTGTAGCAGCAAGGTTCAAGCAGTTCCATCCACTAATTCATGCCAAACAAAGAATGATGGGACAGGTAACTCCAAACCTCTTCTCTTGGGTGCTCAGAAGATCACTTGTGTTTCGAAAAACCCGTCTAGCTCTCCTCAAAGGTCTGTTTTGTGGGATGAGGTCATTGCTTATTTAAGTTGTCTTCCCAAGTTCGATTTTCCTCTGGATGGCACGTGCTGAGTGATAGATCAAGGAGTCAATGAATCCAGCAACTACAAGGAAAAAACAGACGGATCAAGCCAGACATGCCTCAAAGAGAGAACAACTCCCAGAAGGAAGGAGAACACAAACCCTGCTGTCAGCGCACAGGAATCCCACCTCCCCCAGGTGGAAGACAGCTGCTGCTGCTCAGAAGAGTCGGTCCTCGTCTCGTTACGACAGACAAGGTCCAGCTTGCAGGCAGAGGTGATCACGCTGCGCCAGAAAAAGCTCTCTCTTACAGAGGCAAAAATGAGACAGGCCGAGCCTCGTGTGTTTACTGAGGAGTGCGGAGAGGCTGCAGAGGAAGCTGATGCCGAGAGCTTTATGCCATGCACGTCACTGCCCTCAGCCAGCTTGCCAAGGGCACGTTTCCCATTTCTTGCTCCTTTCACAGCAACCTTAAAAGCAAGCTACGCTACCCAGTGCTGCCCTTCACGGATGCCTTTGTTGGAGACTGCAGTGCTGACCCAGCAAGGACACACAGCAAAACAAACCAACGCCTTCAGTTCTTCCCGCAGCCCTTCCCCCACATCTCCCCAGCACTGAGGGAGCCCGTTCACTCAGTGCTTCTTTGGGACTGCAGGAAAGCTCAGAACGGGTCTGCTGCATGACAAAACCCGACAGCCCGGCACCCAGCGAAGCGGCCTTTGCAGGATGGGACCCCTGAGCTCCTGCCTGGGAAGAAACACAGGGTGCCAGCGAAGGAAGGTGTTTGCAATGCCGTTCTGAAGCTTCCCGTTCTTCCTCTTATTCAAAACAGCTACCCAAGGAATAAGCGAGCGATTACTTGGCCCTACACGGCGATTACTTGCCCTTACACGAAACCAGACATTTCAATACTATACAAAAAGTAGCAGCTAAAACAGGAACGGAGTCTTCTGTTAGTGCAGAATACAGACGATTGGCCTGACTATCTGGCCTTCGAGTAACACGTCAGATGGCTGTCTTTCGTTGTTGTTTTGCCCTGAAACTATGTCTGTTTGTGGAATCAATTTGATGCTGTAACACAAAACCTGTTACACAGCTGATTTGATCTGTCCTATAGAGAGTCTGAGCACAGTGGCAGGCAGCAAACACTGTGAACTGGCTGCCAAACCTCATCAGTGCTAGACAGCACTTGCGTCTGTCCTGAAAATAAATTTTTGAACATCTTTGCCTGAGTCAACCATAGAAATCAATACGATCATTCTACACAGAGAAATCCTGATTAACAGTAGCAGGTTAATTGAGCATTGTGACACCATGGTCATCCCTGACCATGTTTCAGAGCACCCGGGGTTATTGCCTGGAGTGCAAGGCTGGACCAAGGCTGGGCTCTGTCACGCACATGGAGCTGAGCTGGACACTGACGAGCTACTGCAGAAGCCAGCACTGAGAGTGACGTCCAGAGACTCCAATGGCTCCGCAGGAACAACCTCTGCTTACCGGACCCCGTCTCGCCGTGACTTACGGGACCCTGTCTAGCTGTGAGCGCTGCTTTCAGTCCCTGCAGAGCACTCACGGGAGCTCCTGTGTCTGGGAACACCGTCTGAGACCTCCGAGATGGTTATGCCCACGACGACCTGGGTTTTGCTGGCTTTGGTTCCACAGGAAAGCACCTACCTGCTTACAGACCCAAGCTGGCCAAGAAAACAGCACAGATGCATTCATATTGTATGTGAAAGGCCGCATTATTTGAAAACAAGAAGTCCCGTAGAGCATCTAAATGAAATATTATGATAGGTCTACATCATAATGAAATTAAATACTTCATTGAATGAAATATTATAATAGGTCTACAGCATCTTCAAAGTCTGCAATGCGAATTACAATCTGACACCACTCCTGCGACTCTCCAGAACAGGCTATATCCTCTCCTGAAGGCTGAAATCCTCTCTCCCCACCAAACAGGGATTTATCACCAGCCATGCAGCCTTTAGAAAGAGTAAGATGGCAAATGTTCACACTTTCAAAAGAAAAAAGCTTCAAAGGTGCAATACCTGTAAATATGCCTCCAACGATGGCACAAACTCCCGTGAGGAAGTGTGTAAAGGACCTAGAATGGGGAAAACAACACGAACAACCAGCATGAGCTCAGATACCAACATGTCAGAGAAGCAACAGTTAACTAATAAAAACTATTTCATAATTAACACGGTGTTTATCACAGCACATAAGTATGCATTATGTAATATTAATAGCTGACAACTAACAGATTTTACAATTACATAGCCCCTGTTGGCTACAGAATGGAGTTTGTCACTGACACTTTTACTGAGCAGCACTGAGTAGCATTAGAGTAGTACGCTCTAACGAGCTCAATGGCAACTCTAGGAGGCAAGTACTGAACTCATAAACCTAAAGGATGGACTTTAAATCCCCAAGATTTTATCCACTCCTACCCAGACAGAATGCACAGCAGGCTGCTTTAACACTAAAACTAAATCCCTAAGCACACGTTCACACATTTTAAGGTGCAGGCATTGGCTGTCTCTCATTGGGATCCTAAAAGACAGGACAGCTACAAGCCCTTCCATTCCCCTGCAATTGCATGCCTGTGATTAACAGAGGACCCAGAAAGAACAAAGAGGTTCCACACCGACTACAACATGAGGAAAAGCTATAGCAAAAGCAGAGTAAGTAGCCAGGCTGGATCAGCGCGGGTGCCGCTGCAGCTGCTGGTAAGATGGGCACGCTATGTAAAGCCAGTCTTCCCATTAAAAAAGACTTTGAGGAAATTAGTCCGAAATGAGAACCACTATGTCAGACTTCTGCTCACTGCACCAATTCCCTTCTCCATCTTGGTACTGGATTGAAACACTTCAGGCAGTACAAGAAAAACCTCCATCCCTTTCAGATGGTCACATCGAGAGGAAGGGCATCTGGGAGCTCCTCTTCCTCTCCACTGACTGGGAAGGGGCTTGGATGGCTTTCAGGCGTCGGCACTGCCATGTCGAAGCAAGGATGGAGTTGTAAGCTATGTAAAATGACAGAATCAACGGCGGGTGAATGAAATAGATTGAAACGTCTCTTACCTGTGCTTCTCTGTGAGCTTCACCATCATGGGCGAAAGTTCATAAAGCACAAATACGCCAGGCAGACCCTGGTCTCCCAGTAGCCCGTTGGCTATCTTCTCATGTCGTGTCACGGAAAACTGGTTAGTCCTCACCACCTAGCAGGACCAAGCACCGCAAACGTCACTTTGCTAACAAGGAACAGGAAAGGCGACTAAACATGAGTTCAGTGAACCGCATCAGTGTAGCCCTGCCCACTCACTTGTGGGGGGGCCTGACAGTGGTTACGATGGGTCATAAAGAGCTCCATCAGGATCAGGTCTATTTTCACTCCAGGCTGTCAGTTAGAGCCCCAGCTAGCCCAAAGAATGAGTGAGGCATCAGTCCCCAGGCTGGACTGGTTTTGGTCTCTGCTGGCAAGTAATGGCATAAGCTGTCCCTCTCGACCTCAAGCTCAACTCCACGTCATCCTCCACCAAACTGTAGTTCACCTAAGCACGCTTCAGGAGACACCACGATGGGAGAAAGCCATATATATTTGAGAGTAAGAAAAAGGGAAATAACACATAAAGGCAGGAGAGTGCCTGGGCTGCAGAAGGACAGAGACTGCCTGTCTCTGTACAAACGGAGATCACCCTGCCGCATTCTTCTATGCCCTGTCATTCTTCTACACGTTGCTCATACCAGTCCTATTCTTAGAGCAAATAAATTGGGTGTCTGTAAAGTAAAATTACGTTCTATCATCTCAATAAGCTGACACAAATTACACTCCAAGCCGAGAAAAATACTATGCAGTTTTGTTACCAAATTCCACATTTGGGGGTTCCAAGTACTGAATGTACAACACAGCCCCGGTATACATCTGGCAGCACCCCTGGATCCATAGTTACCATAGGTATAAGCATCACGGTCTGCATGGATTCCTTACCTGCTGACTAACAAAAAGCAATTCTTTTGACAGGAGAAGTCCTTTGAAAACTGAACAACAGCTCCACAGCAGAATGTGAGATTTCATCAAAAGAAACAGGAGCCCTGGTATACCGGGAGGTGGCCGTAAGTGCCAATCATCCACAGAAACTGCAGAGGCATCCTGAATCCAAGCAGAATGAGCTTCAAACGTGGCCTGAAGGTTCTCCCAGTATCACCTCATAGCAAGCAACTTTCACCCAACTTCCAGGCAAAAACAGATGGGTCCCTTCTAGGCTGGAGACTGAAGAAAGAGTGGCCCACATAAGAATTTATCACATGAGATCTGAGTCTTGCAAACAGTTTCAATCTTTAGGGCAGATGAAGCAATACAAACTACATCTATCTTTCCAGTGGATTCTGTTAGCTTGCTCTGACCACACTGCTGTAGGACAGCTTCGCTTGAACGTCTATGTTGTATCTTCTGTGGCTGTGTGGCTCCTCAGATTTGTGGTCCCTACGTAGCCTTGACATAGCTAATAATCTGCCGGTGGTTAGATGTCAGAGTGCCTAAAGCAACACAAAGGTGGTGTGGATGCACAGCAGCATGTTGCTCTGACTGCAATGCTACGTGGTACGCGCCCGAGAGTGGCATGGGCTTGGCTGAAGAACCTGAGGTGGTAAGGGTTCCCAGTGTTGCGGGGTTTGCGCAGCGTTCTAAGACTGCGCAGGACGTGGGAGTCAAATTCTGCGTATTTTCATCCACGTGTACCTCAGTCCTTGCACTTAACGAGTCCCAGAACCACACCTGGGTTTCACCTCAGAGGAAACTGGTTTGGTGTTAAAGTGAAGCTGGGCATGCACCACCCATGCAGCGTAGAAGATGCAGAACCAAAATCTGGGAGCGAGCTAGGGAGCTAAGCCATCTTGCACGTGAACGTTTACAGAGGTACTGGGGCATGTGGCACCTGCCTCTTCCTCACAGGGTTAGGCCAGCACACTGGTAGGATGGGTGCTGAAGTCTGCACAACCGAGAGCTGCTGCTTCTGCCGGTGTGTTCTTTGCGGAAGAAACATAACAGCTTACATCATTCTGCTGCCCTAAGACCACGGGGGCCCAAATAACGCTGACAGGTCTGGTTTGGTTTCTTTTTTATAAAGAGGCTCTCTGTAGCTCTCGAGATCCCCTGCAGAATGATGGCAACCAAAATAAGTGCTTCCAAATGAATGAAAGAAATCATAATTCTTTCTGCTCCCTCAGGCTGGCTTCGGGAGACAGTGTAAGTTTGTCTGTTCTCATGATCTTCTTCTCACCCTGGTATCTCCTCCGTGGTTTCTTTATCCTACCTGTCCCAAAAAATGGACATATTCTGAAAGCAGGGCTTGAAAGCTAGCCACGCCTTTTTGGAGGTCAAAGGAGTTTTTAGACTGGAGACAAGCTGATCTTGGGTGATCCTCCAAAGAACATTTTTTGGATCTCCTGGGTGCTTTCACTTCTCCTGAGCATGCACTAGGAGGGATTCATGAGGGAACATGATGAAAATGGCACGGTCACTTTGATCTAGGTGGGATGGAGGAGGCCGCAATCTGCTTCCTCACTGCTGCATCATTACAGGTAATGTTACACCACAGAAACTGTTCTTCTTGCTGGGGTGGTTATGTCAAGAAAGTCAAACAGATTGTGTTGCTTCCACCAGAGGTCAGCTAGGGTCAGCTTCAGAATCTGAGGAGAAAGCCTGCTGGCTCTCACTTGCCAAAGCAATAAGGAAAAAAGGTACTTACTTCACCATCTACTTTCATGTACACTGTGGGGACCACTTTGACAAAATACTGAAACATCATGGAACCTATAAGCAAAGACAGAGAGACACAATTAATAACTGGCAAAGAGCTGGAAAGCTTAACTGACAGGTCAGGTAGACACAAATTGGTTTTGTTTAACTTCTCAGGTAACATCTTCCTGCACAACAGCTACCGGAGGTTTGCAAGGATAGGAATGTTAACGTCTGAGTTTTCCTTTAGCCAAAGTGAATCTCGTTCCTCTTCCAACCAAAATCAAAACTACCAGCATTTTGGCCTTGACTAAATGGAAAATGTTCTACAAACCAGTTACCTTGCCATAGATTTACCAGTACAACTTCTTGAAAAGTCTGACTCTAGCACATGAAAACCTTTACATCTAAACAGCAAAGCCCTAAGACAGCACACTCAACTCTAAATGAGTGTCCTATAGCAACTTCAATAGAGACTGCAGTTTATTCCTGTAGAAGCATGGCTTCCATCATATCAGGAGATGACAAGCAACACCTGGATCAGTGAAGAATAAAGAGAACTCCTGCTGCTGTCTCAGACCAGCTGGTCCCTTCAGTTCTCTTAAGCATAACAGAAGGCAGGAGTCGCTTTGAAACCTGATTTTCTACGAAATTCCCTAGAGGAGAGGACTATTCCATCCATATCTACAGAAGAAGTAATTCTCCTATACAATATCTTTAGCTGGTCCGCAATAAACATAAATTTGACCTGCAATCTACTTCTCCCACTTCTTTTCTGGAGCATGTCTCCAGTGCTAATTCCTCAAGAATTTGTCATCTGGTTCTCCAAGGCCCAGGATGGAAAGCTTCAGCCTACAGAGAGAATTTTACCAGCCAGCTACAAGCCCCCTCTCAGAGAGTTTGTTACACCACAGAAAAACTACGGCGTCACGATCGTGTTGAGCGTCATGACACCTTTTCATTTTTCTGTATTTTATTTTAAGCACCATCCTTCAATTTGGGTACAAGAATCAACATCGATGGTGGAAAATTTAAAAGAACGGATTCAGGATTGTTAATCCTACCACCACCTCAAAGCAAACGACTTCCTTCCCCAAGCTGCTCTATTCAGCAGCGCCCCAAGTCCCTGCAAACACAAACTCTGCAGACTTCAGTGGATCTAAAAAACCAACTGATCTCCGCAGTGGCACGCAAAGTGGTAGGGTCGGGAACCTTCATGGAAAATGCACACGGGCGGGCTTGTGTGAAGAAACCAAGATTATCGTTTGAGCAGCAGCAGCATGAGGAGAGAATCGCCTTTCCTCCTCAAGCCAGCAAACGGGAGCTGGCCAGAAAAGATCAGCAATATTTCCACGCCACTGCAGCTGTTCAGCTGTTCCTGCTGGGTAGGTCAAGGTCAGGCAGACACCACAGCTCTCCAGCAACTATCAATCAGGCCTCTTTTCTCTATCCTGCAGCTTCTGCTTATCTCCTACTGCATGCGGTAGCTACACAGGGCTCTCCCTGAACTACACCTGAGGCGGGCGTCTAACGACAAAGAGAGATCTTTCAGAAAGGTCACAGAATCAAAACACACTGGCAGAATTGTTCCAGGTGAATGGAGGTAGCTGTTCCGCAGCACAAGGTGGACGAGTCCACCTTTTACACAGCGCTGTCAGGGTTCTTGTTAAAGACTGGGAACTTCGCTCCTGTTCTATTTTAACACTGGTTAGTACAGACGCTGAAAAAGAGATTCCTCTCAGCTGGCTTTTACCTTGCTGCGCAGTGATGTCTGTCCCATCCAGAGGGTTCACAAGGCCTGGATAATCCCTTCCAAATGAGAGATGTTTGATGTAGTGCGTCATATTGATCTGAAACAGACACGCCAACAACTCAAACAACTGCACAGCATCCGAGAGGCAAGGTAAGGGCTGAAAGTGAAGTATTTGTGCATTTTTCTGAGTGGGGCTCTGTTACAGAGACTGGTCCTCCCTTAATCTGTGTGCCCTAACAGTGAACTCCAAAGCACTCGCTCTTCGTTTTGATTCACGGGAGATTCCAAGATGTGGAATTGCTCCTTTTCCTGCTGGAAATCCCCAGATCCCCATGCCCTTCCCTCCCATCTACGGAGCAGGGTCTCCCACCCACGCCTCTCCCTGCCCCAGCAGCGCTGTGCTGTCAGCCACCTCAGTGTCGCGGGTATGGGTGACATCAGCCTTCCTCCCAGCACAAGGTAAACTCTGGCAGGTCCAGAAGCAGCTGGGGAAACGTCAGCCTTTGAAAACCGGGAAGCACAGACTAAGGAGCAAGGCAGTGTCAGGAAGAGGGGAGCGGGCTTGCCCACCAACATGTCCAAGAATATACTTCAGAGCCCTGTATGAAAGCAGGTCCCAGGTTCTGCTCAGACTCCCAAAGGCCAAATCCGGCTGGGATCAGTACGCTAGGATCTCAACGTCTCAGAGGGAGGCAAATCCGGAAGAAAAACAGACCAAGAGAACTAGAACACTGTCTTGGGAACACTTACATTGTCAAGGCCGAAGCTCTGCAGATCGTGAACTGTAATAGAAAAAGAGTTTAACAATGTATTTCAGATTGTGATAACGAGCCTATCTATTGACCTTATTCTAGTTTACAAGGGAGCTCCTCTCATTTCCACCGCAATTTAAAACGGCAAGAAAACTGCCTGGGTTCCTCCCTTGCTTGCAGTAGGACATGGGATAGATAAAACCACTGCAATTCCCCACTGCTAGGGTGAAGGAAAGTAACTTGAATTTGGGGTTAATTCAGATTAGGCATTTCAGTCCTCACCTGAATATATTCCTACTCTAGGGCAAAAACAAGATCCCAGGGGCAAGCAAGGAAAACTTCATTGCTACCACCTGCTATGCAGAACTCCTCTAACTACTGTAAAACACAACAGATCTCAGCTAACGGCTGAGCAGAGCGCGCGCCTTAACCTCCCACGCGAGTGCCCTCACGAAGCCATCACCACCCGAGCAACCCTCCGCCCGTCAGCCTTGTCACCGCTGCCTGGAGAACACACGGTGAAAGAAGTCCTTGTGGGGACGGCCTGAGCAGGGTATTTGCGAACTGCTGCTGGGGCTGAGGTGACTGTCACCGGCGCGAGGATCAGGGGCGTTTGGCCTGCCCGCTCTCTGCCCTTCCTGCACACAGCAACACGACAAAGACGGCAGAAGGGACCTGGCAAAGATACGGGCAATGGATCTCTTCGGGCAATGGAACTCTTTCGGTTGGTGACTCAAATGACTTCAGGCAATGCCGGAAGCGTCACTCTCGGGATGAACACATAACTTACAACTCGGTTTCACTATCGCTCCTACCAGCTTCACCCAAGGTCACACAATCGTCTCCACGCAGCCAGAGCCTGTGGCGCATTTTGAGAGGTGAAGCCACACGCTTGGGAAGCCAGACCTCACCTTTCACCTCCGCAAAGAAAAACACACTCCAAAACTCGTGGGCTATGATTTTAGGAGCTGGCAGAATCAGACCACCAAGTGCTGCTACATTCTTAACAAAGGCTGGGCACGCTGCTCCCCCAAAGGGCTTCTGAGCACAGCCTGGCACAAGAGAGGCTGCAGAGCGAAAGCACCGGCGCCAGCCTCTCCTCCTAAACACTTCTGTGCTGTGAACTCCGCCTTTGCCCTGAACACCTTTCAAGACAACAGCAGAAGCTTTACTTGTGTTTACAGAAAGCCCTTTCTAAATCCCAAGGTACACACATGCAAAACAGAGAATGGGCAGCTAGAAAAGGAACTGCTAAGCCTAAACCCGCTCCTCCTAAGGCTCCCACCAAGGGAGAGGCCCTTTCACAGTTAAATGTTCGATGCTCAGAAACCAAGGCTGCAGGCATTGCAATTCAGGCCATGGTTCTGCATTGTAAAGAGCTCAGAGCTGCCCTGGCTTCAGACCTTGCTGCCTCTGACCAGTGTGCAGACCCACCAGTGCCACCAGCACACCTCTGATCAGTGTGCAGACCCACCACCGCCACCAGCACACCTCTGCCCAGTGCGCAGACGCCACCCCACAACAGGGCTGCCTCTGACCAGTGTGCAGACCCACCAGTGCCACCAGCACACCTCTGACCAGTGTGCAGACCCACCACTGCCACCAGCACACCTCTGACCAGTCTGCAGACCCACCAGTGCCACCAGCACACCTCTGATCAGTGTGCAGACCCACCACTGCCACCAGCACACCTCTGACCAGTCTGCAGACCCACCAGTGCCACCAGCACACCTCTGACCAGTGTGCAGACCCACCACTGCCACCAGCACACCTCTGACCAGTCTGCAGACCCACCAGTGCCACCAGCACACCTCTGACCAGTGTGCAGACCCACCACTGCCACCAGCACACCTCTGACCAGTCTGCAGACCCACCACCGCCACCAGCACACCTCTGATCAGTGTGCAGACCCACCACTGCCACCAGCACACCTCTGACCAGTCTGCAGACCCACCAGTGCCACCAGCACAGTGCTCTGGGTGCTTGTGCTGGCAACTGGATCAAAGAACTCAGCTGGCTTTTAAAAAGAAACTCCTACCAAAAATTTAGAAATAGATGCGAAATGGTGGGCAGGGAAAGGAAAGAAGGGAGAAGCAGCCGTGGGGTTATGCTACACTGTTCTTCTTAATGGTTACCAGCAACACCCTGTTTCACGCTGCAGCAGTATTTGGGCTTAAGTCGAGAATTCAGCGGCTGAGGTGTCAGTGGAGTGCCAAGTCCCGCTGCCCTCGGCACAGACATCAGCAGGCCAACCTCCAGTTCATAACAAAGTTCTACCGGCTTGGGGATCTGCAGCTAAACTGGACCTCCTGCCAAAGGAACAGTCTCTGTTGATGGCCCATCCCCGTCCCACCCTGCCCTGGGGCAGGAGCCCCACCAGAGAACACAACAGGCCGCAAGAGAAGCGTTCCGTTAGGCGAGGCTATTCCCCCAGCCCCAGCAGCTCCAGATGAACTGGCTCTGCACACAGCTGCAGGGAGCCTTGTTCAGGGGGGACAAGGGATGCACTGGGGGGACCGGGATGCTCCTCCTGGTAGCCAGGCTCCTCGGAGCCCGCGCAGGATTATGGCGTTTAGCAGCTCTACCGCCTGGGCAGCCCCAGTCCTCGGCAGGGAGCTGGGTGCTGGCACGGCTGACGACTCTTACGGCAACAGCGCAGTACCAGAGAAATGCAAGGGCAGCACCGGAGAGAGACCGCTCATCAGCTAACTCGTTACACAAGACTCACATCATGCATGACCCAGGTTAACAGTTCTGGCTATCCAAAACAAAATTTCCCCACACTGCTCTGCTATGCCTGCCGCAGATGAAATGCTGATTAATTAGTTTTTATAGAACTCCTCTCCAATACATGACTTACAACTCTGTGAAAGACAATGGCTGGTACGTTCAGTTTTGAAAACAGTGTTCCACCAGACCACGGTTTCTTCGTCTTTGATCACCGCGGGTTACGCAAAGCACAGGCTGCAGATAAATGCTTCTCTAGCCATAGCTTGCTCAACACAAAACCACCGGCTGTTTAGCCTGCTTCAGGAAGAATCAGAACAAGGAAACAGAACAGAAGATCTCCCGAAGGTCTGGTCAGCTCGGAGCAGAGACTGTTATTTTGGAAGAAACAAACCCACATTAATTCCGCTCCGCACCCGCAGCGAAGCGCCTGGCTCAGTGAAACACGGAGACCGGTACAACAGCTGAGGTTTGTCGAGAAGCCTGTCTGGTTTTACAGAACCTAGTTTTCTTCACTGTTTTAGTAAGAGAACTGCTGTCTGCCTAAAGAACTCTCTTTTCCAGATTTTTTTGCTCTTTTCCAGATATCCAGTCTGCAGAACTCTCCTCATTTCACATTTCTGACCTCAACAACCACAAGCCTCCCGAGACTCTGACGTTCAGTCCTTTACCCGTGAAACAGGGTTAACAGCACTTACGGCCACTCAGGGCTCTCCCAATAAACATGTGAAGACAGCAAGAAACCCAAGACACAGCGACCCAAACACGCTGCTCCAAGGTGAGCTACGACACCAGTTTTCAAGCTGGAAATATCTGGAGGGAAATATCCTAGAGGAGCACAGCGGCAGGAAGACGACGAGTGGCGTACGGACGCGTCGTGCAGAGGGGACTGAGGCAGGGAGCAACACCGAAAAAGCTGCAGCTGGGGGAGGGGGTGAGCAAAGCCGAGAGCCTGAGCCCTCCCCCAGATGTTACCGAGCCCAAAGACCACGTCTCAACCCGTCATCACCACGACTACCCTTCAAAACTCCAGTGGTTTACAAACCCTTGGAAAGCCTCCTGCCGAGTGCTCTGGGATTGGCAGGTTAGCTGGTTTGCCACAGCAGAACGACCCGGGGTGGCTCTCCTTTTAGCTTTCAGCACATCTTCTCAAATCCCAGCCTACACCAACGGCTCCTCCCGAAGGAGGATAAGGAGGATAAAAAGGATACAGCAACACTTACTCTCAGCAGCGTGCACTGCAAACATGAGCAGAGTAGGAGAGAAAAGAGAAATATTCAGATCCTTCCAATGAAAAGACACAGACTCAGATAGAGCAGCATATAAAACTCATAGCAAAAAGGGGAAGCGCAACAGCTTTGCCCGTGTGCTTTCCAGGCCACATACAATGACTGCCTAGCCAGCCAAAGGACTGATCTCTGGACAAGCAATCATGCAAAGAGTAACAGAGAAACAAAAATGCAGGAATTCATCACTAAAAGGAAAAATACAGGGGGATGCCCGTATTTGGTAAGTGAGCTCTACAGCAGCATGCCAACTGACAACGCCGGTTATGTTTAGACTCTTTTTCAGCCTTAAGGTAACAGAAAGGTCATTTCAGGAGCAACCAAAGCTATCCAGAAGTGCACTCAGGGTTTATGTTCACAACATATTAACACTCAAAGCTGGGTAACAAGTTTCTGCTCTTCATCAGTCCTGGGCTGCTTTCATCACACCCGATGCACAGAGAAGGCAGCAAACCACGAAGTTTGCTTTGTTCCGTTCTGTGGCAAGATCCCAACCAAGGGGAACACCTGGAAGGACGGGGGCCAGGGAAACGTATGTTTGGACGGCCTATCTCATAGGCCGTTTCTTTCAAAAGCAGGTTCATGTATATTCAACACCGCGTGACTAACCAATAACTGCCTTAGACTTACACCTCCTCGGAGACAGGCCTCCGAATCCTTCGCACAGCAGTTCCCATCCACTTTGCCAAATGCTACATCCCTGCTGGTGCTTCCCCAACAGCACGTTACTTGGTGCGGAGAAGGCATGGGAGGTATGGAGAGCCTCCAGATGGCTGCTTGACAAACGTCAGCTCTTCCCAACAACGGTTCGGCTTGAGCTCTGACGGATTATAGTCCGGGGACAAATGGAAGGGTCATGTTTGTGGTCTCCAAAACAGATGCAATGTAACTTGCAAACGGCTTGTCCATCTGCACAGATATGGGTGAGACCTTGCATCTCCCAGCACCAAGACAACCAAACTCTGAAAGGAGTTGACCAGCGTAGAAACACAAGTCCTTCGCAATGCTGAGGATGGAACAAGACTCTCAGGCTCCAGTATGCGTCTGGGGATGAAAATGGTTACTTTCCTGGCAGACACTACTGTGGGACAGAAGTTAGAATGAGCTCACACAAACACCCTCTGCGGAAGGAATACTGGACAGGTGATCACCCAGAGCATCTGCATCTCCTCCACACTGAAATGGTGCCCTCGACGGATGGAGATTGAGCCCCACATTGTTTGTTTTTCCAACAATGCTGATGGGCAGGAGGAGAGTTCAGATGAGGAACTGGCATCTGTGGAAGGCCTAGGATAACAGTAACAGCCCCACAACTAGCAGGGCTCCAGGAAAGGAACAGAGAAAGAGGCTGCAGTCCTTGCAGAAAAAAAGAATTACCGTCACTTGCTCTTCGTTGCCAACGAGAAGATGTCAACGGACCTAAAAAATGATAACCAGTCTCCAGTCAAAGATTCCATGTCCTTTTGCAATTCAGCATGCAAAACATCAAAAAGTATGGAAACCAAGAGAGGCTATTAGGGGTCATCCAGAGTGTCAAAGGATGCCTTCAGATAGGTTCTGGCTGTCAAACAAACCTCAAGTAGAGAAGGGAATAAACCCTCCCTTAAGTCCACACGCTGAACATTAACGAAGATGCACAACTGATCAGTGAATTTGTGCTCTTACAGAGCTAACGATACACCACACACTCCTAGGCAAAGCTCGGTGACTCCAAGTAGGCAGCTCCTTTTCCAAAACCATCATCATCTCAAAGAGCAGATTACTTGGTTCTTTTTTCCTTCCACAATCATCCCCACAAATGAGGAGGAAAACAAATGGTACTCCCAGAACCAGTGCTTCCAAAGATAACTTTGTTCCTCCGGTTGACCATGTAGGCTGTAAGACAACCACAAAATTCGGACCACATACAGAACTGTTTCACCCATGGAAATTCTCATGTTCATTGAGAGTGTGCCTCTAGGACAGAGAACATCCTGAATGTTGTCATCAGTGTCAACTTCTTTTCTAGGGACTTAAGGGAATCTCATGATGCATCTTAAGGACTCCTGAAAAGCTCTCTGGCTGTCAGTAAAGCACGATGGGCAATGTCTTCCCTAAAAACCAGTGATGACAGCACCTCGGCAACAGAATGGCCCCAAGATAATCTAAAGGACGAACGAGAAGCCTCAGTTTCCCCTTGGCCAGAAGGAATATAGCAAGGAAGAAAGAACTGATATGACAATCACTTCTCTCCCAAGGAACCCATCACTACGGACTCTCCTGCACGCTGGAAACTCGCTGCCGACCACCGCAGCTGAAGCAGCAGATGGCTGCTACCATACAGGCACGGGCAGAGACGGCAGCAGCGCCTGCACCACACACCTCGGGAGGTTACACGCCTGGGTCACGCCATTCTTCCTCTTTTCTCCAAGACAGGAAGGAAAGAGAGAGGGTGTGAACTGCTGCAAAGAAAACAGCTACGATATCCAGCATCACAAACAGGCAGAGACTGTCCTTACAGAGGCACAAGTGGAAGAGAGAACTTCACCAAAACCTGCAGCCCCCTGCAGAAACTGAACATAAAATCTCCGTTCAGGATCCAAAGCCTGTGGAGCAAAGAGCAGTGAAGCAAGCCCAGTCTCAGCTTGCACCAAATAAATAGGCAGGGCTTGGGGCTGTGCTGTCTGGAACAGAAAGCTGTAAAGATCAACAGTGTTTGATTCTGGTTTTCCCTTGGTGCAGGAGAGCCAGGACTACTCGTTTCAGTGCCAAAAAAGTTCTGAGCTGCTTTAAAATTCTCCTGAGGTATTCTCCACAATAACCCCTTCCAGAGACACTGATACTCAGGTCCTGCACTGAACACCTCACCTGACGCTGTTTTACAGCAGAGCAGCAAAGTTCTGTGGAAAAAGTGAGACCGAGAGACTGCCCAGAAACATTCTCCCCCAAGTCCTTCCACACCCACACGGCAGCACCTCCACAAAACACTTCTCTATTTGTTCACGATGGTTCTAAACCTCTGCAACAAAACTTCAACAACGCCCTCCCCACTGAAGCAGTGCTGCTGTTCTTATGGATAGTGATGCAAAGACATTCACAGAAAACGGGCAGACGCACTTGGAAGCTAAAGCTCACAACAAGCAGGAAAGGAAAATACTTTACCGTGTACATGAGACTGCTGGAAACTTTTTCCCGGTGCAAAGTGGAAATTTCCAGCCACCTGCAGGAGATAGTAATCTTTTATTAAAAGGTCTGAACCTATACAAATAAAGCAGTCACACTGGTGCTTGGATTTTTACACTTTGGCTGAAACCAGATATACACTAAGCAACGCGTTTTCACAGGTGATGATATCGGCAGGTATTGTCCTAAAAGAAATATGAATTTCCCCTCTTCCTCACAGGCAGTGACATGGATAGCCATAATTTCTGATGTTGAAAATAAGTGTGCTATGCAGATTATTTTAGTGGACAGAAAAATGGGAAGAAGGAGGAATTAGGTCTGTCAGGACAGAACCAGCTGCTGCTGCAGGAAATACAAAAAGCTATCACAGGAAAGGAGTGGAGAAAGTAACTGAGAGAGAGAGTGCACAGGGTAAAAAATCTCACCCTTAATATAATAAACAAGTGATCCTACGTATGCATCCATGAAAATACGCTGCTTGCAAAAATAAAGCACTAGACCTACAAACCTGCGCAAACCTACTTCTTACATTAACTGCAGACCTGACGAGAACAGAGAGGTGCAAAATTCCAGGTGCGTAACAACAGCCCTCAGAGATTTCCCCAGCGACACCCATCCTTGCATCCTTGCTGCCTCCAGCATTCCCCTTGGAATCTTTCCTGCTCATCACACTTTGTGACAGAGGGTCCCATAATGGTTTGGTACCCATGAAGATGCTCAAATCACAATGTCTGCCTTTGCGAGTAAAAGGTTCAATTCCCAGAAACAAACAGTGTGGTCTCCAGGAAACAGACACAACGATGTGAAAAACCCAGAGTTTGAATTTAAAAAAAAAAAAAAAAAGAAAGAAAAATTTAGCCTGGGCCTGACTTCTAGAAGGTACTTGGGTACGCAATCTGCATGTCCAAGTGTTCTGGGTCTGGTAACCCACCAAATGACAGGGCAGCCACACCATTATCTGGTATATCTCGTACTACATTTTCATACACCAGTAGCAAAACCCACCTCTCTGAGCATTTTCAGCTTTGACAACCATCTCCAATAGCCTTGCCTCCACTGTTTTTCTACAGAAGATACCATTTCACTCTCTCCAGCACCTCTGCTGGCGAGCTGCTGGTTACTGCTATCTCCAGCAACCACTGGTGGTCTCTGGTTTAAGAGCAGCAGGGCAGCTGGGACGATCTAACCTCAGAGAAGCTGCCTCTCCTCCTCCAGACACCTCAGCAAAAACACTCATCAACTCGGCGGTAGGAAAAGCTCAGCTTCTCCAGCTGGCACGCTTCCTACCAGCCCACACAATGACATGGAGAATTCATCCCCTTCCCACCCTTTCTCCCGATTCTCCTGCTGCCCCCATTCCCTGGCACACGGCCCCCAGGGGTCATTATGTGGCAGTCCCGTGGGCACCGAGAGCTGGCGAAGGAGAGAACGCCCCAGCTTGGCCTTTTCACAGCCGTCACCGTACTGCAGCAGGCCCACAGCAAAACCCCGCTCTCACCTTGTTGACCTCCAGGAAACCATACACTTGGCAGCCCTCATTCTTCTGCTCTTGCATCTTCTGGCTGAACCCTTCCCTCCTGCACTGCTCTATGCTATCCGGGTTCTTGAAGGCCCAGCCTCGCCGCCGGTACGCTTCTCTGACATCGTCACAAGTGTTACAGCACCTGCAAAAGCACAAGCACCACCTTACCATCCTTACTGCTACAAAGAGACGCTCCAGCTCACGACTCGTCCAGGCAACACAGCTGTATTCACTCCAGTGCTCAGGAGATATGAGAATGTGTAAAGTTTACCGAATGTCCTCTGACTCTGCCCCATAACAGCTCTCGCAGCGATCGGCATCCAAAGAGTTGGGATCAAACACTTTTTCTTCTTCCTTCCCCAGCTCTAAGACAAAAGAGGGTTCAAAGAGATGAGGCATGTCTAGAAATGCTATCTTGTTCTCTTGTTTTGTTCCATGCACAGTAAGTGTTCGACACATGAACGCAATCATTTTGCGTTGGAAGCTGCCAACCTACACCCAAAGCCCACCTGGAACAGCCTGCACGGAGCCTGCTGAGGGGAGGGGTACGACCAAGCAGCCGGCCAGCATCTGTCATCTCAAGAACACCCTCCGCAGAAAGAACTGGCTGCCTCTCAGCCTTGCTGGAGCACTCATCAGACGTTACGTGCATAAAGGCTCTGCTCAAACATTGTCTAAAGCAGAACCAAGCAGTAAATCGTGACCGATACAGGACCCGTTCCACACACAGCATTTTAAGTAGCAGTCGACCGCACCAGCAGTGCCCAAGGCGCAGGGAACACGGTTATACATTGCGGTGAAACCAGGTCAGAGCGGGAGTCTCCCGACTGGAAAACCAGACCCCAGGATGACAGTGCTGACAAGGCAGACACAGTAAACACTGCTCCCTAGAAATCCCCAAGGAATTTCTACCTTCTCCGGGACGTAACAACACTGTCAGTGCCCGGGCCACGCGCGTGTTGAATGTGCAGCCGCAGCACGGCTGGGGCACAAACTCCTGGAGTTTTATGTTCTTCTGTGCAGAAGGCTCAAGAGGGACTCGTAACAGAGGAGATAAGAGCTGGGGACAGCCGGAACTCACCAAAGGGCAGGAGCTGCCTGCAGAAAACTCAAACAGGACTTCTGTTCTGTCAAGAGCCAAAGCAAGTATCAAAGGTCTGCAAATTTTGGAGTTAGCAGTATGTGAGCCAAGGAATTTTGTGCCCAAAATTTTCAAAAACGTTGGCTCTTCTAGCAAGAGGCCCCCTTCAAATCAGGCTGTTTCAACCCACAAGCCCTGAAGGACAGGAGCGAGTCTCTTGGGTTCCAACAGCCCTCTCGGGCTCCCCGCCAGGCACCGCCCCCCCCCCCCCCAAGCCTCGGAAAGGCGGCTCCTGGGGTAACCGGTACTGGGACGGCAAGAACGTACACGGTCAGACACTGCTGAGGGGACAAAACGCTAGCAGGGCTTTGCTCGTCAAGACTCGGAGGTGCAACAGGTGGGCAGAAGTAGGTACTAAAGCTGCCTGTATTGTCTGCTAGAAAAAAAAGAGATTTTAATTGCAAAGTATGAAATATGCTGGAAAGCCAATCGTTAACCTTATTTCTTTAATCAAATACTTTACTCTGTTCTCTCAGAGACAGCATCCAGAGGTAATGTGCACAGTTTAGACTCTGTAAAGAAACTGCAGTACCTAAAACCCTACACGCAGGGCTTCTTGCTGTTAACATGGTCCTCAACTTGCATGCAGATACGATACACGAGCTTGGAGAACTGTCCGTGTGAAAAGGAAGGGAACGGTATGAACCACCAGGACAGAATTCCCTCGTTCCTGGCCGTGCAACGGAAAGGATGAACACGACATCCAAGCACAGAATGCAGCCTCTCACAGAAACTGTTAAGCTGTTCACTACTGTAATGTAACTACGACCAGGAAAAGCCTCCGCAGACCACTCCATAAAACTGGGGTATGCGTTACTACAGCTGAGGCCAGTACCGCTACAGGTGCCATTTGCACAACTGCCTGAACGTCAGTGCTGCGTGCTTTTTCCAGACAGCAGAAGAAACTGCTTGTTACACACAACGCAGCTGATCTCTGTTCAAACGCCTCTTCTAGGCGGGACGGTTTGCTGCCTACAAGTTTCTCTTCCTCCCCATCAACCATACGAGGAGTCAGAGCACCCGGTTCAGATGGAGCCATCCCGATGGGGACGGGCAGTACGAGTAAGGCAGGAGGCCTCCACGTGCTGACAGAGGATTACCTACAAAAAAGTTGGGTTTGTCCCCAGACATTCGATCTGTGATGCCACAGCCTCTGAATACAGAAAGGCTGCTACGTGACACAGCAGTAAGGAACACGATCACCGTGTTCCTATGACAACAGGAGAAACTCTCATACTACCAACTGTTCACCTTTCAGCTTAGAGCCAAGCAATTATTACCTTTTCTCACAGAAAAGGCGACAAGGAGCTCATGTTTTGGACAGGAAAAGTCAGGACAGTACTGCTGTTCCCTTGGAACACTTTGCCAGAATCGTTGCTGGTTTGTATCAAAGTACAACAATGAGTCAGAAGATGTAAAAAGTGTAGAGGAAAGGCTTATGTACCAAGGACCACCTACTATGACTCGTAACTGAGAAATCAAATAAAATATATTTCTCAGGTGTGCCTTTACACACACACAGTGAATGCAGTGAAGTGCAGGTTCAGGCTTAAGCGCCGAGTCCCTGGAGCCTTCCCTGCAGACAGGCTCTTTCCTCTACCCAGGCCGTCCCATTTGTCAGCCCGCTGTGAGTCAAAGGTACAACCAAAGCCAAGCTGTACCAGAACAGCGCCTTGATTTCCAGTCGTAAAAGACCATTAACTCCGCAGCTTTATTCCAGAAATGCATCCATCAGCCCTTGCTGTAATTTCAGGGGGACTCGGCCAAGATCTGCCTCGCACGAGCAGCGACTATAAGAGGAGTTCCTCTGATCTGCCAGTTTCGTGGATTTGCTGCTAACAGCTCTACAAGAGCTTGTGGTGTTCAAATGCTCTTCAGCTGTCATGTGTGCCCGTGAATCCCAAAACAGGCACACAGTGAAGTAAAGACTGCGAGGGCACCCACCCAAGAAAGGCCGAACAGCACCCTACCGTGTCTGTCGGCCTCCGGCGTCACACGATTGCCAGCTTTATCCAAACGCTGCTTGAACAGATTGTGCTCCACATCCAGCTGCTGCTCTCCCGCCACATCCATGGCATCGATGCTCAAATCTGAAACCAGCCAGCAAGGAAAGCGGTCTCTAAACACACACGTGCTATGGCCTGGGGCAGGCTGCGGAAGAACCCAGCCACTGAAAAACCAGAATCTTGCAGCGAGGCGAGGGGGATAAGAGCATGCTGGTCTGGAAGAGGGTGCACAGCTGGGGCGACGTGACATAGAGGGACTCAAACGCACATTTCAGCACCCTAAACAACCCCTCCCGACACGGGCTTTGGTTCGCTCTGCCAGAAGGACTGCTTCCAACTGCCCCACAAAGTGCGACCAGGACAGGTAATGACACTTTGGGTAAAAAACAAAACCAAACCCCTCAGAGCCCATCACCATTTTCAGGAGTTCAGGAGTTAAGCTTCACACTGTTTGCAAGCTGCCTCCCACTTTGACTCCCTCGCCCTTGCCCCTTCCCCCCCAGCACACCTCCCTGTGAGCCCTGTTCACAGCACAGACCCAGCAGCTCCATGGGCCCAGCCCGGCTGCGAAGCCTCGTAGGACATTAAGAGGAGTGTGGCCAGCAGGTCGAGGGAGGTTCTCCTCCCCCTCTACTCTGCCCTGGTGAGGCCTCATCTGGACTCCTGTGTCCAGTTCTGGGCTCCCCAGTTCAAGGAAGATGAGGAGCTATTGGAGAGAGTCCAGTGCAGGGCTACGAGGATGAGGAGGGGACTGGAGCATCTCTCCT